AATAATGCACATATTTTCCATCGGCAGTAACTCAAAATTAAAGTATATTCTTTTACATTCAAAAAAGGTAGCTTATGTAAGAACATTTGTTTTTGACAGAACACTAAATACAGGGTCAAATAGTGTGTACAAACTGGACGATGCAACTACGTTGACTGTCACGTGTGTGTAGTAGTGTTGACTTACAGGGTGGGAACGGACCAGTGGAGCGACGGAGAGGGTGGCGGCTGGTCTATCAGGCCAGGGTCCATGTCTAAGATCATCTTGAGATCCTCGTCAATGCCTATACTGAGGCTCAATCTCACATAGTCTGGTGTCCTCTCCATGCCTACAACACTCGACACTTCGCCATCGCCATGCTTACAACCACAAACAACGTCGTCTGCGGCCGACATGCGTCCAAAAATAACATGCAAGCGCCCACACATCCCCCCCTGCCCACCCCGCCACACGACCGCGCCAAAATACGAATCTTCGCTAACGTACTAACATCGCAGCGTGAATCTGTTGGTTAATTTTTCGCCACACTTTACAAGCAGCTGGTTTCTGAACTCTTTGTAGACGAGAAAGTCGTTGTTTACAGCTCCGGTAACTCGGAGCTGGAGTACGGTAAAGTCAGCGGGAGTACGGTAAAATCAGCGAGAGTACGGTAAAGTCAGCGTGAGTACGGTAAAATCAGCGGGAGTACGGTGAAATCAGCGGGAGTACGGTAAAGTCAGCGGGAGTATGGTAAAGTCAGCTGGAGTACGGTAAAATCAGCGGGAGTATGGTGAAATCAACGGGAGTGCGGTAAAATCAGCCGGAGGACGGTAAATTCAGCGAGAGCACGGTAAAATCAGCGGGAGTACGGTGAAGTCAGCGGGAGTACGGTAAAATCAGCGGGAGTACGGTGAAATCAGCGGGAGTACGGTAAAGTCAGCGGGAGTATGGTAAAATCAGCTGGAGTACGGTAAAATCAGCGGGAGTATGGTGAAATCAACGGGAGTGCGGTAAAATCAGCCGGAGGACGGTAAAATCAGCGGGAGTACGGTGAAGTCAGCGGGAGTACGGTAAAATCAGCCGTACTACGGTGAAGTCAGCGGGAGTACGGTCAAATCGGCGGGAGTATGGTAAAATCAGCTGGAGTACGGTAAAATCAGCGGGAGTATGGTGAAATCAACGGGAGTGCGGTAAAATCAGCGGGAGTACGGTGAAGTCAGCGGGAGTACGGTAAAATCAGCGGGACTACGGTGAAGTCAGCGGGAGTACGGTGAAGTCAGCGGGAGTACGGTGAAGTCAGCGGGAGTACGGTAAAATCAGCGGGAGTACGGTGAAGTCAGCGGGAGTACGGTGAAGTCAGCGGGAGCACGGTAAAATCAGCGGGAGTACGGTAAATTTACCGATAACTCAAAAAACAGTGTACTTAAAGTGTGTACTAAATAGTGTAATCTAATATTGTATTGACGCCTTCCAAATCTCTAAGATTTTGAATAAAGTTTTCCTGTCCGTCTGTCTGTCTGTGTTTTACTTGAGTTGTCTATTTTTCATTGGTAGTGTGGCAAAAAGTATTGTACGCAACTCATCAGGGAAGGTGTTTACGGAAAGCCTCGCTTGGTAACTATCATGCTTGTACTGTAAACAAAAACCAACTTCCCGCCTTGAAGCGTAATATATACCATCAAAGGAGGCACTGGAGGGTGAGGCAATGAAAGCGCCCCAACTTATAAATATTACAAATTCAATACTATTCGCCCTATATATACATAGCACATAAAAACACAGCTTATAATATGCCATTTTAATTTGATCAAGTAATTTTTCAATTTCTTGAAATTAACATGCTTCAAGTAACGTACGTCCTCTCCTACTTGGCATTCCTTTTTATTAGCCAAAAGATTTCGCTGAATACTTGTCCTAGCTTTTTTTCAGGAAACGCTTTAATTTCTGAGAAAATTTTTAGCTTCAGTTCAAGCAAATCTCTGGGACTAGGCTACGCTGGATAAACCTGATTGTTAACTAACCTTAGACTGTTAAACTAAATGGAAAAATGCCTTATGGGAGATCAAACTCGCCAAAGATCTTTACATCGTCAACTTCCACCTGAAAGGTCCATTGTATACTTTATTTACACAACTCCAACAAGCTACGCCACTCGTTATAAGCTGCAACCAGATCTGCACTTCTAACTGGCAACAAATTCATTAGACCACTCAACTTTTGAACAGACCAAACGTTCCACTGAAGTACGAAGGATGTCCGCAAATAAAGGTTCACTTTGAACTCCCCTCGTGGCCGAGCGAGCTAGTTAAAAACTGAGACCGGGAACTGATGACGCTTCAAAAACTGTTGACACCTTAAACCTAATCACAAACAAGATTCATACTTGGCGGGAGAGTAGACTTTCCTTCATATCATTATTGGCTCTCATGGCGAGACTAATCGTCAGATAGGTGTGGGAACCAGCTAGAACAGAATACAGCGCTCGTCTCGGATCCAAACAAGCTCGAATACAACGGGAGGTCAACTGGGACCTGAATTTACAACAGCCCTTATAACATTGATGATAAACTATACACCATAGCGCAGCAGTTCTAGGCTCATGTTTAAGGTGCAGCAATGGAGAGAGAAAAACTAATGTAAAGTTGAAATAAAAATATAGATCAATTGAGAAATATAGGAATTGCCAACAAAAACAAAAATAAGAAGTCCATCCGGGAACCAGGATGCTGGGGAAAAAGCAGGGTGAGGGCGGCACCCCAAAGCTGACTCTAATGAAGCCTCCAGGAAGAAAGGTGTAAAGAGGGGGTGAGAGTACCTGAGACAGGATGTCTGGGGTGAGAAAAAGCGTGTGCTACCGCTATCTCCGCGTTCCGTCACCTCCGAACTCAAATCTGTCCCGCCACCTCCGAATTCTTGAGTGACCCTTATAATCCCGTCACTGCCTGCGTTGGTAGCTGTCATTGCATCCACGGCTGCGAAGCCCCGTGGATGGAAGATTTAATGAAAATTTAAACCATGGGTTAGGTTAGGTTAGTTTAGGTTAGGATAGGATAAATTAGGTTAGGTTAGGTTAGGACGGAAAGTCTTAACGCAGGTAGTAACCGAGGATTATAGGGGTCACTCTGAAATTCGGAGGTGGCGGGACACAGAGGTGGCGGGACGCGGAGATAGCGGGAGGTAACCAGAAAAAGAAGACGAGGACGAAAGAGGGAGAGAGCTCCGGTGTTTCACAGAGAGCACCAGCACCCACCTATTCGGAGACACTGTCTGTGGAGAAGATGGTTATCGCCAAATCTGAACACCCGGACTGGAAACGGACGGAAGCTAAAGCCAATAAAATCAAGGGGGAGCTGTCCAGGTGGGCCATTCTTGGCAAAGACATCAGGCTAAGCAGCTGCCATCTTGAAGGCGGAGCCTTGGTGGTTGGCTGTGCTATCGCAGCCACAAAGGATTGGCTGGTCAAGCAAGTTCAGGAGCCGAGTCCCTTCAGGGAAATCTCGCTACAGCTTGCCCCAGCCAGAGACCTTATGAAAACTGTGAAGGTATCAGGGTTTTTCCCCATTTCAACGGGGGCAATATTTATGTGCCCAGGTCTGCGTATGAGATCCCTTGGCCTATTTGAAGGGAGATCAATGGGAAGAACAGGTAACCATAGTCAAAAGGTTGTCACGGTTCACTAAGGATCTGGGATTTGACGGAGTATGAGGACCTGTGAATGAGGGTGCACAATAAGCTGTTCTAGCTGCGATGCAAACACATGGTCACTTGTAAGCCTGACCCTCTGTTAAAAAAAAAGGAAAAAAAGGATTTTCAAGAGTCGGGAGGGACAGAACTTCATTTATGTGTGTACATATTGACCAAGTAAGAAACATAATCTATATAGATCACCCACATAGTGATGTGTCTGATTATTTCAATAGGCCTACATCATTATGTATAACTTTGGTAAACAACTTCACCATTTAAATCATTGTTATTCAAGATTTTCTGTTTCAACTGAGCTAAGTGATATTTATGACCACACTCCCACGGATTCTAGCCTAATTGATTTGATATTAATTGCTATTTAGTTGTTAGATTAGAATTTTGTTTTCTTTTTGGAGTTGGATCAATAATAGGCTATTATAACGGGTGGCGCAAAAGGATGGTCGGATTTGAACTGCGAAGTATAAGTAGTTGGGGGAGGTTCGGGTCCACTACCGGCGGTCTATAAGTCAATCATGGTACCCAATTTGCAGCGATATGGTGCAGTGGACGGTCAAACACTTCATTTTAACCGTGGAACTGTTTTTTGTTTTTTTTTACAGAAACAGTGAATCTTTTATTTCTTCGTAACGGCTGTTTCAAAAACATTTTGGCGTAGCCCGGATTGGACTAGTCCCTGTTCACAGATCAAATCACGTTGGGTGACTGCATCTCGGACAAGAGGGTCCGTCGTGGTAAATCTACTACACGACAGTTACTCCACAAAACATGGAGACCGTATGAAAGTCCGCTAGGCTACGTTCTATTTATATATTTTTTTAATGGTTTTATCGACATAGCCTACTAGCAAATTTGTAAGTTACAAGGTTATTTTTTGTAATAGGGAGTTTGAAAGTGTCCAGAAACGTAAGTCAGTAAAATTTATGCGTAAAATCATTTGTGTTATATTCATTTTAAAAACGACCATCCTTTTTGCGCCACCCTGTACATTTCATGGAGTATGCTGGTATCACAGTCTCACTGCCATACAGCCATTAATTTAGTGTAGCTGGGTGAAACTATGATATCTGACGCCATTGAAATTATTGATTGTTACAATAAATATAGAATATTGGTACTTGATTAAGTAAAGTTTGTTTATTGATCGAATTTATAATTCTATGTTTATGATATTGGAGTCAGATATCAAAGTTTGGCCTGTATCTGTCACACAAAGATTGGCAATAATTGCAAAAATTGTATGCATACACTAACACTTCCTTAAAGATAACACATAAGATGTTATTCTAGTCCACAAACTAATACCCTAAACTTACCTAGAAGAATCCACTGTTTTTGATTTTATTTCATAATAGGGTTGATTTGAAGAGTTGGAGAAAAGAATTGCCTCCGATTGCTGAATGAACTGGTCTAAGTTCACTTCATCATCGTTTATGTACTCAGCCAAGTCAAACGCTATAGAAAGATTGATTCCAGAGTCATCCATTTTATAAATTTATTTTTATTATATATATTACTGGTTTGTTTTTAATTTTTAGGTATATAATATGCTCGTTCTTAACCTCAAAATTAGGCCTAACAGGCCTGTTTAATATTTCAACGTAGGCCTAGAGTAATAGATTGGTTTGTATTGTTAAGTATATTATTATGTGCACTGAATAGAGTTTCAAGTCTCAAATAATATCTGTAATACAGTGAGGAAAAATTCAACGTTATATAAACAGCACATTTGCCTACGATACGAACCGAACCGATTAAAATAATAATCACATCACAAAGACCTACGGAGTCTGACTCACCCGTCACACTGTCACCGACCAAAGTGACATAAGCAGAAGACGAAGACCAAAACAACAACAGAGAACGATCAGCTGTGGTAAATACAGTGTAGCCACAACAGTGTAAGTTAAAAACTAAAATATCTAAATGAAGTACTGTATCTAATGACAAACAATACTAAATTGTTCACAATTATGGATTCAACTAAATTGCGAGTTATGTATTTCTCTTTTATTTTATATTTGTATTTTTTATTTGTAAAATATGAAAACTAGCTGCATAACCATTGCTAGATGTAATACCTCCATGGCGTTTTACGAAATAACAATCTTTGTTTTAAATTAAACTACTTCATAATATTGTTTCCTCTCACACACGAGAAGCATTTAAACATCGTATTTAAGGTGAAATGTATAACAAAAATGAGGTACAAGCATAAAAAGTATACCTTAGTCTTTGTTTTGATTTTGCGTTGGCAATTGCTGACAAGCTGTGGGAACCAACTGATTGTTAAACTTTGTTAACCATCCTAAGAAATTGATCTAACATATGATTGGTGCTGCTACTGAACCCCCCGTTTTAGGGCAATGGACAAAGCCTCTATCCACATTTTAGTCTCTTCAAATGTTTAAGTATTTATGTTTTTTATGTCCCACCTTCACATACTAGGACGCTAGGTTCTAGTCCGGAACTGTTTTACACATCACTTCAGGCTGGTCCTAAAGGGTCGTGTCATTATCACATGGATAAAATCTATTGGTGATTGGCGGGATTTGAACCCGCGGAAAGTATCAAGTAGTAGAAGTTTAACCTACACACCTTATTTTATATATCTCGAATACGCACAGGCAAATACAATCCCATGTAGGCTTATCCCACAAAAAAGCTAAAGGGTTTTCTAGTTTTAAAATATATTCTTAATTACATGTTTTTTATACAATGTATATGCTTTCTAATATACTTGTGTTTTTATTTCATTCATTCATAACTAATGAATGCCTGTAGTCCACTGAACAGTTCCTCCTCATGCCTCAGGAAGGTGACCGTATTATCAGATTGCCAAGAGTTGTCCTTACCTGAGAGCTCCTCACAGTCGCTAAGCCATTGACAGGCTTATCAGGAGTCTCCTCTAACCTGCCCAATTTCCTGTATATTGTCTACATCACACAGATCCATTCCCAGTTTCAGTTGCTTTTTGAACTTTCCATGATAATTGTACAATACAGGCAATGAACCATACTATTCTGCCAGTTCAGAGCTGTTGATTCACTGCTCGAATCAGCTTGTTTTCAAGTCATAACTATCAGTCTATGAGTCTAAGTATCAGTCCACAGAAAAAAAGCTAAGTTTTTTTTGGATTGCAAGACCTTCTTTGTGAAATTGCTATAATTTTAATAATGTTGTCATCGCTACCAAAATAACTGGAGTGAAAAGTGAATTGCGGTCTATAAAAATTTGTATTTTCTTTCCATGTTTATTTTAATATTGATTCCATTTCAAGGCACTACTGTTCCCAATAGTTTACAGACCTTACTATGTTAGTGAGTTCTAAGCTAAGTTATTTGTTTAACATGTCAGTCAGACTTAGAAAAACAACACACTTAAGAGTAAAGAAGCACCTGTACATATACCTGTTAACTTTGTACTAAGTGCTAATAAATATAATCATCATTAATATTATCCAAATGAATACAAAACTAAACAGTTCAATACCTTTAAAGTTCAAATGGTGCATTAGAGTTAGGGTATAATTTTGGTAATTTTAAGTTACATTTTCACGTTTAAATAATTTAATTTTAACAGTGAAAAAGCAATAGCAATTATTGCTTACTTAATTTCTGATTAAAAATTAGGTATTTAGGAAAGCAAGAGGTCATCGATGTTGTCCTGTGGGAGAACAAAGGTAAGACTAGGAGCACAGAAAACATACTACTATAACCCAGAATGCCAACCGCATGGTAAAACGCATTAAGTGTTTTGAGAGAGCTTTGCCTGTCAATTCGTAGGCAGTGCCACCAGCGTTGCCATGCACTCAGCATAGCAACGCTGGTGGCACTGCCTACGAATTGACAGGCAAAGCTCTCTCAAAACACTTAATGCGTTTTACCATGCGGTTGGCATTCTGGGTTATAGTAGTATGTTTTCTGTGCTAGGAGGTGTTCCTTGGCAACAAAGATAGAATTGGTATCAGTGTTCCTATGATAGTTCACTTTTTTCAAAGCAGATGTCATTGCCATTTCATTTTGTGCCCATAAAAAACTCAGAAAGAAGTTGAGAGATAAAAAACAATCTTTATCTACACTCTGAATTACTTTGAGTTCAACTCCAAGCTTTCCAGATAAAATATTATCTCGGTTGTTTAAAGTGCACACCAAATTTGACACTGCTACCTTCTGCATACATTGAGTGTGGACCAAACTGTTTGGAACTTTTTGTGCGTTGAAATCAAACTGCAATGTTTAAATTTATAGCTAAATAATTGTAAAAAAAGATGGATTACTACTTTGAGTTTTTTTTTTTGTAATAATTTTGTTTTGGACCAATAGAACCACCCATGTAAAAGTTCAGGTTAAGGTTTTCACTCGGTATGCCTACTCTTGCCATTCCTTTAAATATTAAAAAGCTAATGGCAATTTCAATGTTTTAAATGAAAATACCTTTTTAAGTTTAAGTGCTTAACTCTAAGTTAGCAAAAGCATAAGATGCTTCTTTTGTTTTTATTTTGTGTGAATCGTTCAGGGTTATACATATACATAAAAGTAGGCCTAGTACAGAGTAGGCCTCGGTAAGAATATATATTAGATCGGTAACACACTAGTTTTCTCAGCAAGACCAATTCAAATCCATCTTTTACTGAAACAATATTACATACAAGCATATGTTTATAAAAAACTGAACTTTACTTGGAACCAACAAACCCACATCCTGGCCATATTGGTCAACAACACACTCTCACAGCAACCTAAAGGAGTCAAGTATGGTGGATATTAGGGATTCAACAGATAACAAACTCTTTGGAATATAAACAGTTTATTATAGACTTTGTGCATATAATAAATCCTTACAGGTTTTGCCTAATGTTTTTTGAATTACTTGTATTTTACTTTACATTCAATTTAACAATTTACGTAATCTTTTTTAGGATTTTTTGAGAGGATAGCAGGCTTACCTGAATGGGAAAGAGTCCAAACTGGCACAGGAACACAAAACTTTACACTGTATACACAAAACATTAGATCACCTTATTAATACACATTTGAATCACTTTTGCCGTTTTTGGGTCCAATCCATATGGAGGGATACCATTCAGCATGCAGTAGAGGTACCGAATTGCTTTCCACATATTTATCTGCCGTTTAATATCCTGCTCCCTCTTGTGAGGCAGTTATCGTTTCAAACTGTCAATATCATCGATGCCACATTCAAGGCATCCAGCCAAAAACAATCGCTTGTCTCTTTCTGACCATTTGTAGCTGTTGTCTTCGGAACTTTCAAACCCAAACGTATTTGGAACTGTTTGAATCCTTTGGCTTCCCCTTGTTGGCTGCACTTGGACTGACGGGACATTTCTTTTACTTGTTGACTGTGAATCTGGTTGTTTTTCAGCAGTAAACCATACAACTCCTTCAGATGGATTTGAAGTTGAAGGTCTGGCTATAGACAATTGTTAAAGACCAGACGGGAGTGATCTGCACTTGTTCACTTCGTTACTTAGATTGAGACTGTCATCAACAACTTCTACAATCGAATCGAACAAGATTTGATTGAAGAAGTTTTTCATGACAGTCTCAATCTAAGTAACAAAGTGAACGAGTGCAGATCACTCCTGTCTGGTCTTCAACAATTCTCTATAGCCAGACCTTCAACTTCAAATCCATCTGAAGGAGTTGTATGGTTTACTGCTGAAAACAACCAGATTCACAGTCAACAAGTAAAAGAAATGTCCCGTCAGTCCAAGTGCAGCCAACAAGGGGAAGCCAAAGGATTCAAACAGTTCCAAATACGTTTGAGTTTGAAAGTTCCGAAGACAACAGCTACAAATGGTCAGAAGAGACAAGCGATTGTTTTTGGCTGGATGCCTTGAATGTGGCATCGATGATATTGACAGTTTAAAACGATATCTGCCTCACAAGAGGGAGCAGGATATTAAACGGCAGATAAATATGTGGAAAGCAATTGCTGTAAAAAAAATTAAAAATTAACTTTCATCAGACAACGATAATTTAAATTACGATAAAGAGAAGATTAAGAACCTCGATGAATGGATTGAAAATGTCAGTAAAAATAAAAGTAAATCAGAAGGAAGTGATATGAAGGCTTTTTTAGATTATTTCTTGATAATTGCTGAATATGGAGATCTGCCATCAGTGGAGGAATGTGGAGGAGTTGATCCCAGGGCCATGTACCGGTACCTCTACTGCATGCTGAATGGTATCCCTCCATATGGATTGGACCCAAAAACGGCAAAAGTGATTCAAATGTGTATTAATAAGGTGATCTAATGTTTTGTGTATATAGTGTAAAGTTTTGTGTTCCTGTGCCAGTTTGGACTCTTTCCCATTCAGGTAAGCCTGCTATCCTCTCAAAAAATCCTAAAAAATCTAGGCCCTTGTGCTCTATGCTACACCCTTAATTTACGTAATCTGTCTTTCAAACAATAACAATTGTGCTTTGTGTTTCAGTAAATCGAGTAAACTTTAAAGTAATGATTTGGAAGCCTTAAATATCAATATGAAAACATTTGTCTACTCCTGTCAGAATGATAAATAATAGACATAAACTACTCCAAGTTGTGACAATGATATTAGTCATATAAGAAAAACTAGGCTTAAATTCTAATATGAACCGTCAATAAAGTTTAAGTCAAGAATCAGGATAAAACATTAAGATAATACATAAAACATTGCCTACTAAGTATTGACAGTCAACAGTTGATTACGAAATATATTTCAACTTATCATCAAGAGAAAATATCTGAAATAATCAGAAAGAAAAAAAGATTCGCAATATTTTGATCAAAGTATTTGTCTATAATAAACTTATTTTTTCAAGAAATTTTTGATTGTCGCTAAGTAATACAATTTTTTAAAGTATGGTTAATGATATAAAATAAATTGAGAGATAAGGGTATAGTAAGAAATCCGAAGAAACCAAATTGTCTTCAGAAAATCAAATCATCAAACATGTTGTCTAATGTGTAAGAAAAAACTGAACAGAAGTTGTAGACCACTCCATCTATGGTGATCATTTTAGCTACAGATTTAAGTAAGACAATTTTATGTCAAGATTTAGATATACTAAATTGGGCTATTGTACAGGACAATTACTAGCACTATTGAGTTACAGTAAATTTGCCCCACTTATTACCTTGAATCTTCAGTTTATTGAATATTCACAGAATATTTCATTACTGATGGTAAAATGATTTTTTTTTTTTAATTTACTGGGATCTGAAATAAAAATCAGACTGTTTTGAGCTAAAATCTATAATTTTAATATTCGGTGGCAAGAAAGTAAAGTATTTAAACTAATGAAAAAGCGAGGTTCAGTCTTTTAAGGTTTCAAAAGACTAATATAAAATAATAAAAATTTTATTAAGGAAAGTCTTCAAAACAAGGAAATGACATTGATTATTACTGAATGAGCCACATGATAAGGAACTCGACTTAGGGCCTCAGTTTTGGAATTGAACCCTTAATTGATCAAGAATTGAAAATGATTATGGCAATACAAGAACAAATTAACAATTAATTGCACTAACCGTAGTAAACAAACTAATACGTAAGCACTAACTGTCTTATACACAACGTCTACAAAAATCACATAGAGGAAAAGTAACTATTCTTAGGTACAATAATTAGAAACAATGATCTGAACTGAGATCAAAACACTGGACCTAGTGTACCTCAAGGAATAAACATGTGAATCATAATAAATAAAATTAACAATGAAAGAAACAGCTAACAATATCAAAGTTATCGAGTAACATAAGGTATGTATCGCACGGAGATAAGAATGGAACAATTGTATTAACAGAATTCAGTTTGTTACTTAACAAAAGACAAAATTAAACAAACTGACAACGAACGAGAATTACAATAATATTGCCTACACTTATAGGGGCAGAAATATAATGGGTAACTTATTACTCCAATGTTTTATGTTATTTATTATGTTAATTTCATCTCCGTGGATAGGCGCTCAGTGGATTCGTCACCGAGTAGCAACTGTAAAGTAAAGAAATCAACAATTAAAGAAAATATGCTTTCGGTCTTGAGTTTTGGTTACAACAATCAAGACAAATCTTTTGTTGCATTCAACAAGGTCAGATTGAGAGGTTTTACTTGAATATCGGTATTTGGGCTTTTTGACCAAATTCATGCAAAAGGAATGAAGCAGTAATTAAAAACAGCAAACTGGAGTATCCTGGTGGACCAGGGATAGATCCCTCTCAATCCTGGCTCAATAAAGAGGTTATATCATTCTGTAGGAAAATGGCAAGTTCCTTCTAATTTATGAAAGTTTTTTGTAGTTAAGGTTTGTACTGTTCCAATTGTGATGTATTGTAAAATAATACTTTGCACGTGTGATAGTTGGTGATTTAGGTTTTGATGGAATGACTAATGTTGCCACTTTATACAGGATGAGTCATATTGTCAATTTCTCATAGTTAGTGTCCGTAATATTATATTACGTTACTAGTAAGTGGTGTTTTACCGAGCGAGCACGACAGTTCCTGTGCGATTTTCGTGCGAGTATGGTAAAGCTTACCAGGCAAGTAACGTACGATACTTTACATCATAAGACACATAAAAATTAGTAAATTTTAAACTCATAACACAATTTATTTAGGACTTAAAATATATTAAAATATTTCTATATTTTAGATAATAAAATAGGTCGTTGCAATTAGCTGTTTATTTCATCAGCTGAGTAAGTGCACGGTAAAAAGGTTTTACCAAGCACTGCGTTACATACATTACAATACTTTTCCATGTGCAGGCACGGCAAAGGGCAACTTTCCAGCCTATCAATTAGGATGGAAAAGTACCTGTTTCTGTGTACTATGATGTAAAATATCATACTTTGTACACTTGATTGTGTGTTCATTAAACTTATCAAGTGCACTAGGTTTGGTCTTCTTGCTTCTACTTCTAAATTCCTGTAATGTAGTACTGGGTGGTAAAAAAGCAAGTTCAACTACCGGTACTTAAAAAAATGATAATTACCAACACACTTGGCAAAACTAAAGTGTAAGCTTCCCCAGCCATTATGTTAAGGATACTTGAGATCTACTTTTTTAGTATTGAATATTATAGCCAGTTACTCAAATAAATGCCAACCTGGCATTACGTTTTAATAGTCTTTATGTTTAAAATCCATAACAAAAATAATGTTCTTTTAACTAAAATGTAGGGATAACACCTTGCTTACCTGTTCTGAATGTTTGTCAGACTACCAGAACGTGTAGCCTCCATCGCTGCTACCGCTCAAGTAAGTCCCTTTCTTCTGTGAAAGAGCTACATTATGACCAGCCATAGCAGCCAGCTGAGCAGCAGTGGGAGGAACACCAGGGGGGGTGGGGGGAATCACAGGCTGTGCGATCCCATCAAATCGGGCTCCTCCATCATAGCCGCTCTACACAACACAAGCCTCTGATGATTGTCAATACATCAACATCCTCTTTTGCGATCGTAACAAAATTTATGGGTATTTCCTACAATCATGAGACATTATCGTCACTGCCCAAGATCACGGTTAAATCATGAATATGTAATGTGGTCTTGTAGATATCATTAGGGGGTTAGATGAAAGGTATTATGAACATAATATAATACCTTTCATCTAAACCACTCCACTTCAACATCCAACCCAACAAGCAGGCTTACTTACTTAGTGTATATAAGATAAACTGAAACTGTATTTTTTGAATTCTTACTATTGGCAACACTGACTCAACAAACTCACTGGCCACCATTTTGGACATGAAGAAAACTCTCTCTTCCTTAGTTGAAAATGCTGTCAGTAACAGTGAAATATTCTAACGTTTTGTGTCTATATTTGTAAAGTTTTGGGTTTACTGTGCCAGTTTGGACTCTTTCCCATTCAGTTAAGCCTGCTATCCTCTCAAAAAATCCTAAAAATCTAGGCCCTTGTGCTCTATGTACACCCTTAATATTTTATTTTGATGATTTAAGCATTCTTGCTTTACGAGTAAAGTACTTACAGGAACGACAATCGTGGGCCTCAGTTGAGCCTGGGGGTAAGAGTACGCCAGCGGATAATATTGCATCGGGCTGTACGCGGCAGCCGTTGGATACCCCAGATATTGGGAGTAGCCCTGTGAAGCATACATGGAAGCTGCTGCTGCTGCAGCGGCTGCGGCCGCGGCTGCTGGAGCCCCGTACATCTGCACAACAAACATAAATCTCATCACCACTTCCATAGTAGTAACACCTGGTTATAAGGTAAGGTAAACTCTCCTGCCTCAATTATAACCAGTGGAAACTAAGAATTAAAATAATATAGACAGCGATTGCTTTTAATTAGTTTTTAAAAGGAGGATCAATAAGAGGATTCTCAACTGAAAACATAGTGCTATTTACTTTCTTTCCGTGTCCGGAAATTAGACTTCGCTTTTCCAAAAATTAGCTACCGATATGGTTTTTGTCATTCGCTCATCTAATGTGCAAGACTGGTCTAGGCGTGAACAGATCAGCAGATGGCCAGGAAAAAGTTTGTGTACTAGGGTTGGTTTCAAACATCCAGTGACAATCTGAGCCATGTCATTGACTGAAATGTCAACCTTTTTTGCATGTGACGATGCATTCCATACTGGTGCAGCGTACTCCGCAGCCGACACACTGAGCGCTAAAGCTGAGGTTCTGAGGACATTAGGGTTAGCACCCCAGCATCTGCTGGTGAGCTTCCTAATGAAATTATTTGTCGCTGAGACTTTACCTCTTGTCACAATACAATGCGCCTTAAATGTCAGTGTGCGGTCCAGTATGACACCAAGATATTTGGGTGTAGGACAATGCAGGTTACAACACAACACAGTGCTTATGAACCAGTATACAAGTCCGATATTAAGAGGGGATAAGTTTGCCTAGTTTTCAATCGAGGTAACTCAAATAAGTTATAGGATAACATAAGGTCCTTGAATTTTAGTTATTTCAATCCATCTATCTACCACCGTTCCTCTCATTATGTAGGTTTGCTGCAGCCGGGGTATTCTAATACACAGTAGAAATTTAGTGGATCCCCAACTGTTGGGATCATGTCAAGGAGAAAAAATAAGTTAGTTTGGCTAGCCTATAATAATAATAAATTAAAATCAATTTATTTTAAATAGCATTTTACTTCCACAATCCAACTATTCAGGTCCCAATTATAACTACACACACCTGCTGGTGGCCCACTATGGCCGGGTGAGCCAATGCCTGGTCGTAGGTTGGAGGTGGGCCCTGGGCTGCCGCGTACAGTTGGGCCTGTCCAGGGAACATCCCGTAGGGTGTTTGTACTAAAACAAAACATACATTTCAGATCAAGAGATCCCTGACAAGGAAACAATATATACATCACTTATGGCCTATATAGAAGTGCCTTGGACTCTTCCTCACGCAAGTGCAGTCTTGTGAGCAATATTTTTTCGATTCAAAAACCAAAATTCCACTGTTATATAATTGTACATTTATTGGAAATTATTAACCTTGAATACACCAATGGTACTTTACAAACAGAACACATTTTAGGGTAAGAGATCCTAAATACTAGGGTTACAAAACTATTATTACACTTCTAACATTTCTAGTAATCTCTCTTGAAAGCAATAACACCCTAAAGAACTATGGTGGAAATAATAATATTTTTATAAAAGAGAGCAAATTTACCATCTACCTGCATAGAGAATCTTCCTGAATAACACTCAGGAATTAATAACGGTAAATAGTATGGATTTGAGGACAAATGATGATCCAATTTGTACACATACAAAGTTGTACAACATTGTTCATTTAGCAAACAAATAAAGGTTGAATTTAAAAAGAACCGGAGAAAAGAGAAAAAGTTTACAACATACCAGACAGATACAACAAAAGAACATTCTTTAGTTTATTTAAAGTAATCGGATGGACTGTGTAACTTAAATTGTAATACAATGAGCTAAAACTATGTATCATTTTCCATTATAGTCTAATTGAAATCTCTATGTTTTTTAAGGATCAAGATTAGTTTCTGAGGAATGTGATCGTTGTTTTGAATAATCAAATCTGTGAAACAAAAACCGAGCAAAGTTGAGGATATTAATAATTAGATTGTTTTTCTGTAGGCCCAAACAGAATGGAGGGGAGGACCATCAACACAAGTCTCGTAACATAACTCGCCCAAAATTGCATGTAATTTGAGATAATTTTGCCTTAAAAATTTAGTAAACATTTAACCAGTAGGACTAATGAACAATGCCAAATCTACAGGGTAGTATGAACTAATACTAAAGCAGTAAGAGGAGTCGGGAAAAAACTTATCCCTGATATATTTATTTAACGAATAATGGCTAAACATACCACCTCATCAGAAAATCCTTTCAGCAGTTTATTATAACACCGACATCACCAGGCTAACAAAAGGATCAAATTTTTGAGATGTCATCAGAATAAGTTAACATTTTACACATAACACAAAAACTATTACAGGTAGGCCTATGAATTACTCGTGTGTATATAACACGTGTGGAGTTATGAAAAACCGCTGAAACTAATGCTGCAAGTTTCTCCAAACGATACTACTGTACTTGTAAAGAATTGTCTGACGAGGTTTGTTAAGCCATTATTTGCCATAAAACACAATCCTGGGGCTAACAAAATGAATTATAACATCTATTCAACTTATCTGTCAGGCAGGATCCATCCTGAAGGAAAGTGGGAGGATATGGGAGAGGAGGCACTTACTGGGATGAGGTTGAGGATTCCTAACATCAACAATAACAAATGATCCGTCTTGATTGTACCACTTATAATAGTACCCGATGTGTTTCATTCGAGGTCTCATTTCACCACTCCTGATTCGACGTTGCAAATTATCTCGTCGCCATCCTTAAACATGTCAGTTGGAACTCTAACATCGACAATTGTTGAAAGTTAAGTTAACAAATTATTATTGAAAGCTGAAAAAAATTCTCAATTGTTATAAGCAATTCCGATGCTTAAGTTGGCTGTAATACAGAGTTTTATTTCTGACTGATACTGTATTTTTCCATATTAAGTTAAGTTTTTAATTTAAAACTTTAGCTACAAAAATATTTTCCAATCCAAAAATCTTTTTAAAACCCTGACATATACCACCGACAGTGCCATCAGTGGTCTCTAAAATTTCACTGTGTGCCACCGGTGGAAGTCTACTACTAGTAGTATATAGTAACAGTCGTTACTATAGTGATTATACAGTAAAAACAGTGTTTCTGAGAGTGGTTTTACAATGTATTCATGATTTTAGAACGCACATGAAACATAGATACAAGTCAGATATAAGGATTAGATTCTGGTTTCGATACATCCCCTTTAATTCATTTAGACGTATCTCAGTTTTGGCAACTTTTCAGAAGGGCCATAAAACAAAACATGCCCTCTGTTAACTTTCGTAATGAGAATCCCATGACAGATAGAACCTTAACTTTTGGTAACCTTATACATTAAGGTCACCAAGGTGCACTGAATGTTTAAGGTGCACCTTATACATTCTTTACATTATCTTTAAAAAAAAAATACTTTTTTGAGATACGCTACTTTGTGGGAACTTTTATCAACCATTGCTTAGTTACGTCACCAAATATATTATGGATATATTTTTACATTTATGCTGAAATATGTCTTTAATCATTATGATTTACTGTGATAAATTACATAAAAGTGACCACCTTGGACAAAGTCGTGCACCTCTGATCTTCCTACATCACTTGTGCACATTTATGTCCAAACACTGTATGCACGTCCGTCAACTAGAGATGGCCTTCAATAGCGGTTGACGACAGAGCCACAGAACACCACTTTTACTTGATGGTCAATTTTCCTTCACATTTTTAAATACTGTGACGAGACTAATCGTCCCATTTGGTGGGAACCAGAGAGAAAAGTAAAGGAATAGGAAGAACGTCAGTTTCAGATTTCAACTAGCTCGTTTGGCTGCAACGGAAGTTTGACAGCGTCCTTAATTTTTGGATCTCTCATATAATTAATTCATGTACATTTTCCAAGAAAAAGTATTTTGAGTCAAGGTTGAAAAAATCCATAATTATGGACTTTTAACGTAATTAATTTAATGTGTACTGAATTTAATTACTTAAAACTTCAACTAAAATGATAAGAGAGTAACAGAATACAAGTCATGTAATGAATTACACTGAGAAGTATGTTTACCTGCATACGTAGCCGGGTGAGGTGGAGCCGGAACATACCCGGAAGGTGGGGGCTGATTAGCGGGGAAAGCTGTAAACAACAAAACCATCAGAACACTCCCGAGGTAACATTGTGATTGACACACTGTGTTCTGTATGACTCAGAGCCACACATTACATTTGTTCTCATGGTACGAGAGGTTTGATTGAGTCACACAGACACAGTGCATCACACAGAGTCGGAGATGTCGTAGATAATCCCTCCGGTGTACCTCTGTGAGGGATTATCTACAGTCTCACCGACCCCACCACCAAGTAGATCTCTCAATAAAGCGACAGATCTGAACCAGCCTACAAACACTCTACAAACAATTGTGCATATAACACATGGTCATACAAAACTTACCTTAGTACAAACCTATCCGCCAACAGGATGCTTTATTGATAGATCTACAGAACCTTCACCCCGCCACGAGGGAAACATGTTAGGAGAGGGAGAGTATCAAGTCCATCGATAAAGTAAAAGAAATCGAGGCTCGAAACTTTGTCTTAAGTATAAATCGCCAAAGATGGAGGTTTCACACTCAATTATAGTAAATTAAGACTTTTATAATCGTATAGGCCTATTATTTTCTTATCAGATTATATTTGAGAAAAACAAAGCTGCCTATTACTTTACTCTTAGGTCTTAAAGAAAGTGAAATATTTGAAAGGAAGAAAAACTACATCAAGAAAAGAAGAAAAAATAACCCCAACATCCCAATTGTATTTATTTGACACTTCACTACTTTTTTATAATTGAAAAATTGTGAAAACTTTTTATTTGGATAAAATTTTGATAAGACAAAGAAATTGGACTCCTTGAGACTTCCAATGGTTAAAAACATAAACGCCTAAATCGTCCCCCTTTTCGCTTTGCGTTAACATCAACAAAACCATGCATCAATAATAATAACTATACCGATAATATTACCATGCATTACTATATAAGAATAAACTTAACACTTAGACAAAAAGCAAACAATATAAAGTAAGAACAACCAAACCATAGCCTGTAGAAAATATTTTTGAACTTGTTAAGGAATATTTTAACAAAACAAATCTCACAAATGTATGAGTCATGTCCTAGATGCAAGAATGATAACACATATCCGCAGCACATGGAACGGTAGGTAAGTACGCTAATTAATTCAACATGTTTTTAATAATAAATACTAATATTGTCTAATATTTTATAGTTTCAATTTTTACAATGGCTAATGTAATACTCTTAAGGTAAAAATAATGAATTCATTTTAATTGTTCTATTAGCAGATATAAAAAACATTAGGCCTAATTGTTATGAACTCATAACAGAGACTGTTGCAATTTAATAACATTTTTTCACAAGATATTTTCTTAGTAAATCTAACTTAACATATCATTTTAATAATGAATCTGACAATTTACCAAATAAATTTTATTTTGGATTAATGCGATCAGAAATTTTTTTTTTAAATTAATCCATCGTGATTTATAAATAATCACATATCAATTTGGGGTTGATTAAAAAACTTTGAACATATGAAAGACGAGAATCTAGTTTGTTAACAACAATAGTAGCCCTCCTTTAAACAGAAGACTTTCACTGTAAGAGAGCATTCCACCAATAAATCATCCAACAATTACAATAAAACATTGTACAGTAATTTGAGTTAAGAAGTACCGGTATGCAATGATTATATAATCTTAAATTGTCAAGTATCAGTGAGTGTATTTATACTGGGTTGCTTCCTGACATTTTCAATGTGGTTATAATGGCACCACTTGCCACACACACACCATAATTAACATTTGTGAACTTAGCCAAAGACCACATCACTACAACACCAACATCCTATTGATCATCGATATATGTCTCTTTTGCAATTATTTGGTTGTTTTTACCACATTGCACTAAAGAAAACCAAGCTTGGCATGCAAATGTGTTAGTTTAAAGCTATAATTGTGTCAACATTTTCATTGGAATGATTCCAGAATGTAACGCGACAAAGTAATTTAACAATTCATTAATGAACTTGATGATTCGTATAAACCACGATGTTTGGTTGATAAAAGAATGGTTAAACAAAGTCGACCAATTTCTAATTTTTGTTGTGTATAAGTGAAGGCTCCTTTTTACCGTAATTAATTTATCATCACTTGATTAATACAAAACTCAGATTTAATTGACAAAACCATCGTATAGTTGAGACCAATGACTACTGTACTACCAACCTATGGGATAACCTGCAACCTTGAACGTGTTTCAAATTCAGACACAGAAAATGCAAGGATGAGGAGAATGGTGAAAAATAAAATTAACCAATGTGAACATTTACCAACTTAGAAAGCCATTTAGCTATAAAATAGAACCAGGTAAATGTGAAATTATTCAAAATTGTAGTGTGTTTTAGGACTTGGGTTGAATAAAAGTAGAAATTGTAACAAAACTCAATTTGTCAGAAGCACAAAAGAGTAATGGGAGAGTCAATGAATATGAAAATGTAAGTGGGAAATGCTATTGAAGCCAATTCTCACCTGTAACTAACAATTCTGGGACAAAACTAGCCAAACTACACTGACATCTTAAGAGAACATGGAGATACCTTTGTTGGTAAGCATAACTTAATCCACGACCTTAGATACCGCAGCGATTAAGTGAAATAACAATGAATTTTATTGTATATTATGTAAAAAATACACAAACCAAACAATGTTATGGCTAAATTACAACTGGAAATTGCTGTAATATGTTTATTACTTGGTAAATTAAAGGAGGTGACAATTTTTCATCTCTAATCAGAACGGGAAGAACTCTCTAATTGAAAAATGCCATTCATGGTATTGGTTTGATACGAAACATTGTACAAAAATAACGAAAAAATGATTTTACAGACTAGGGCTTAGCAAACAGTGGGCGTGGCAGTAGTAATATTTGGTCTTCAACTTAGGAATAATTTTGTACATATTTTGTTGCTTTTATTATTGAGGAAAAGATAATAAATATAGTTCAAGTTTTTGAAACTGGGATCTTACTACAGTAGGTAATCATAATCAAAACTAGTACCACAAAAATTAATAAAAACCACAACACAAATGCAGTGATTTAAAGTTCAAATTGAGGGTGTTGCAGGGATGTAACTGCAAATAAAATTTGACGTAATGCAGTTTGTTTGAGTGCTAAAAAATTGCTTCATTAATCATGAAAAAAATACATTATTTTAATAACTTAAGTAGGTACCAGAGAATCTAATAAATTATTTTACCCAATTACTAAAATTATTTTAAGGTTTTATAACTGTCATCGTGTTTAAAACAACCTTTAAATGTTGTCACATTTATTGCAAGACATTCTCATCTTTCAAACATGCGCTACCCAACTAGATCACTAAAATACATGCGAATAATAAAAAGAAATCCAATGAACACTATGAATTATAATAATAACCATCCAGTAACGGTGTACTGTAAGAAAATGTACAATCAAACTGCTCCAGTATCAAAAAGTTGCAATGAGCAAATCACGGCCTAGTTATTTTAGATTTCATTTTGAAAGCAGGTAAAAAATGATTTTTTTTTATGTTTGAAAAAAAATATTTTGTTCTAAATAAAAAAAGGCGTTACTTACGCTCTTGACAATTTTAATGAACGTGCTTTTATTTTCCTAACCATGTAAACATTTTACCAATATTTAGAAAATAGGTACTAGTATTTAGGAAATAGGTACTAGTATTTAGGAAATAGGTACTAGTATTTAGAAAATAGGTACTAGTATTTAGAAAATAGGAACTAGTATTTAGAAAAAAGGTACTAGTGTTTGGAAAATAGGTACAGTATTTAGAAAATAGGTACTAGTATTTAGAAAATAGGTACAGTATTTATAAAATAGGTGTTAGTATTTAGAAAATAGGTACAGTATTTAGAAAATAGGTGTTAGTATATAGAAAATAGGTACTAGTATTTAGACAATAGGTACAGTATTTAGAAAATAGGTGTTAGTATTTAGAAAAAAGGTACAGTATTTAGAAAATAGGTACTAGTATTTGGTAAATGCCTAACCCACCCCACAAGATTGTGTAAGTATAATACGGGGTGATTTAAAAAGAATGCCGGGATACTATTCAAGATAATTAAATGATTTAAACGTCAAATTGAAGGGAAGAGAATAAAGCCTTTTTCTCATTCTTTGAAAAAAATTGGAATGATTAAATAAATTCTGATTTTCATCAATCTTATATGAGCATAAAACTGGCAAAATCTGTACGCTTAAGGCGATCGGCGGGTTTATCTGATGTCTTAACTCAATCTTTTTCGGCACAAAGACTTTATCTTTTATAGATAATATCATCAAGTGACCAATTTAGGTTTGTTCAACTGAAGACTTCGTCGGGCAATCGATTTTTTTTGGGCTTCTGATGCAGAATTATCGGATTTCTTCGACTATGTCATCGCTTGTTTTTAGCCGGCCAGGTGAATGTCTTTTCAAAACACTACGGTGCCACGAAACTCATTAAACCAGCTTCAAGTATCTTTATCATCAAGTAGATTTAAATTTGGTTTAATTTAGCAATATATATAAACTATGCGAACCACAAATTGCAATCTGTGTCTTCTGTTGTGCAGTAAACCGTACTGGCGACTAGCTTCAAGCGTATGAGTCACAATAGCGACTACCACCGTGCACCTGTTTTGTGCATGCCAAGGTGAAAGTTTCCTCCCTTGCTACACGGCAAACAAAACTAAGTTATTTTAGCTTCAATTAGACGTATACAATGTTTAGTTACCTTGAATAGTACCCAAACAATTATCATTTAAAATCTCGGCATTCTTTTAAAAACAGCCTGTATTTTAAGATGAAACTCTTATATTTTTATATTCAACATATTTTTAAATTTTACTTCCTTCTGAGAAACAATTATTTGTTTTCTTAATTTGGACTTCTTGAATAACAACTCCCCATCTCTTTATTCAGAAGATATATCAGTCTTACTTTTGATCAACCACACGATACTTCTGACAATTAGAGAGAATTTACACAGGGGGAGGTGCTACACCAGCATACACCTATGCATATTCTAAGAACAGGCTAAATGGTTAAGAGATATTGTAATAATTGCAAGCTACGTTTAAACAATCCTAATTATTTTAACAAACTGAATTAGAATAATTATAGTTAACAATCTTTTTGACATTTACCTTAGACCTATAAAAAAGGTTTGTTTGGTTAGCACTCTAGTAACTGAACCATGATGAAACACCTAGGAATATGATTCAACTTATCAATGCAAATTTAGCAAGATCCACCCATAACAACATTATTACATTTGAAGGTATAGTTTTATGATTCTGATTGACATGGGGAAAGTTGTGACTGATTTTCTCTGCAGCCTGCCTGACTGTGTGAGCACAAGTGAATAGGCTAAATTTGATTGATAAGTAAGCAAAAGACTGGATAAAAGTTACTACAATCTTAGTTAAGGAAGGAGAGAAACTTAGTACCGTGCCAGGTACAGGCTTGGATTTCTTCTTACTATTGATTTGTTATGATAACAACTCGGCCAACATGCGATGCAATACAACGCAAGAAACAGAACTAAAAATTTAATTTATTACTGAAGTTGATTTCGCAGATTTAGAAATTTAGTTCTGTTTCCCACATTCATCCTCGTTTTAAGAAATAAACATGTTTGAAACACTATCTACCGAAGGCACTAGCTTAAAAATTCCAAACACAACAAAATGTCCATGAAAATGATCAAATATCTAACACAGCATTCACTTCTACAGAGGATAACACAAACAGACCCATGCAGACAAATCATGTTCCTCCAAATAAGCCCGGGATCAAGCATAGAACGAATTCTATGGGCAAGTTCCCCCGTGGTCCCGTACTATCATGATTAGACAGAACTTTAGCTAAAACATCTCAATTTTAATCTACATGTCTCTATTATTAGTCGAAGGCCTAATTTGTAATAATATTACGATAATTAATTATATTTAGTTGAATAAAATTGAAACCAGGGATGTGAATATTAGAGAAATGATGTGAACAACGAACACGCATCATAGGATTTTATTATTTTAGTTTTTAACGTGCCTGTATATATTTATAATTAGTAAACTATATAAATTGCTTTTAAATAAAACGATTGACATCATTGTGGCCTAAAAGCATGCAATATATGATGTTTATCAAGAAATAATTTCTCAAAATGATTGTATAGCCCTTTTGGTTGTTATTCATAACCTGATGTTTTAATTGGCAATTTGTTAGAAAAAATTACAACTTTCCCCCTTGAATTACAGAACTTCTTTAAAGAAGTGTTTTGAATGGTAAAATTTATAAATTTTCACCTAAACCAAAAATGTTGTAGAGAAGGAACTTTTAGAGAACGAAAAATAATTTAAAGAAGTAGTGATTTAACAAAGTAAACAAGTTATTAAGACAGTAAGAAAATTGCCTTTGATTCATTGGTTTGAATACTTAATAATACATAAAAAAAGACTAAAAAGAGGAACACCATCTGTGCAATGTATATTTAAGACATTAAAATGTGTTTCGAGCCATTCAAAATAATATGGCTTGGCAACTATGTAAGAAAACGTGATGGGTGGACAGGACGGGAGCTCAACTGCAAGAGTTTCATATGCAATTTGGCAAACTATTTATTATTAAACCAAATAACACATTTTCTTAGAAAATGTCTAAAAGATATAGTAGCTTAGTTATAAAATTATCTCAAAGTGTGTAATTTAAATAAAATTGTGAGAGATCCTCCAATACACAGCTATTTGAAAATGTATAATAATGTTTGTGAACATTTGTTCAATAGCAATTAAAATTGCTCGTAGGAATAAATGCATTAAACTCCACTTAACACATAAAACGTCAACCATAGAATAGAGTACATCATATTCCATGTTTGAACAAAAGTTATGCAAGACATTGCAGTTTTATTACAAAACAAAAAACTTTTGCAGTTGCTCCGTTGGGTGACTAACACTTAGCCTACTAAAATCATTTTGAAAACAAAACATGTGTATGTTATTTAAAGGAACACACATTTTCTTAATGACTCAAGCAACCAACCAGCAGACATGTAGAAAAAGAAGTGTGAAAATGAGAAAATATTATAGAACAATTATGTACTGATTGGGGAAAATGAGTATAAAACAACGCTGAAACAGGCCAACGTATAAAACCCCCAGAATACCATTATCATTCCTCCAAGAGAAAGCTGCAAGTAATATTAACAAAGTTTACCGCATCAACACAATCATTTAACAGAGAAGGCCAGGGATGGGGCTCGTCTGAAGCGATGTCTCGCCAGAACCAATCTTCTGAAATACGAAAAAAGTGCAACAAAATTGGCATTAAAACCACTACCACTAAGTTACTTCAACCTTCAATTTGTACAACTGTTCTTAACACTAAAATACAACTGTATCATCACCCGAATCAAACTTGATACCGGTACAAGCTTTTAAAATGAGATATTTCAACCATTTATATCAATTTGGATGTTTAAGGATAGCACTTTAAGACTTATTTACCATTATTAGCATAAAAACCTAAAATTAAATTACAATAAAAACAAAGAGGAGTTAGTTAATTCCAATCATGACTAGGCCTGTGATTCTTTGTGATTCCAAAGAGTAAAAACCTTAAAGTGGAATATTTGAGTAAATCTTTTGCATTGAAACGCAACACATGAGGCCAAGTGAGGACACATTGTCAATATAAGTTTCTTCTGTGACATTATATAAAATAACATTTCTAAGATGCTCCTGTTACGATTAGTGGGTACGGTATAGAGTATATGCGACGCCTGGTTGGCTTTAGCAATCTGAGGTACTAGCAATGCAAGCAACTACGTGATGGTAGCAACTTCCACCTTCAGTAATGCGCCATCATACCATCCACCTCAAATAGGTGCATTAGCTACTCAGTGTTTTGGTGGGTTTACATTCTTCGGATCAGAAATATTAGAGTATGATAAATGTTAATAAATCAACCAAAACAAACAGCCATACCACAAAAAAAGGTAATCTCAAAATCAAACCTTTGGGGTATTTTTTATAATATGCTGTTATAAAAAAATATTTAAATGGATAGCTATTAGCCTGTTTTCCCAATAACGGGTCCAATTATTATATTAACTGGAATTATAAGATTTGTAGTAATTTCTTTTGAAATAAATAAAGCAATAGGGATAACAGAAGATAAGTTTGTGAGACACAACGTTGAATAGAAAATATTTTTATGTTGTAAGGTTTGTCAAATCTAGGTCATCAAGGATTGACTGTGTCGTTGAATAAGCTAAACTAGAGGTCAACGTTTCCGATATGTATGTGAGCTATCCATCTTCTGGTTTTGAATAACATTTTGCCCAAATGATGGATAGCTGCCTCTAGTTTAACTTATTCAACGACACAGTCATCACATGAAGACCTAGTTTTGAAAATTATTCTACTATATGACCAAGGGTCATTTGGATTTTGTTGGGTTTGTTTTAAAAAAAAACCAAGTGTTTACTTGGACTAAACATTTACCATTCTCAACAAATGTAATGATGCTTTTTATTTTAAACTGACTTTGACAAGTATTTCCTTTATACAACAAAATAATGTGATTTACAAAAGGTTTTTTTTCAATATAAAAAGTTGCTGTATAAATAACCATAACAATTATTTACTCATTCAACTAGTTAAGTTATATAGGAAAAAAAGTTGCAACTAAAGCTCGTACTTTGAAGGACAGACTAAAAAGAGTGGCAAATTATATCTACTAAAATGTTGAGACATATGTGAAGAAAACTAGCCCCAGAGAAAAAATACTCTATTGCACTTAAGCCTAGTAATGTTTTCAATTTTTGGGTTTAGTAAAAATCCTGCCATGAGCATATTAAAATAACACACGCACACAAACAAATGAACTGTACAAAACTGTAGCAATATGGTGTTGTTACATTAACATTACTATAATGATATAGTGAAAACACAACAAACCGTAGAACCCACTCTAGCAATACAGGCACCACAAACCAGCTACGGTACAATCATTCCATATACGGTACTTTAACATCACCTTTACATTATAAATCCCCAAAACTCTTCGTGTGATAGGCTCGCAATTAAGTCTCCCATCTGGAAACACATCGCTTGTCTTGAAGCTTAAATATAGAAATCATAGCCTACTTTCAATTAATGAAAAGAAAATTAAAATGAAATGTTATAAAATGACTAGCTTAAAAACCATTTTCCTATCAAAAAAGCTTATTTGCGATACGTTAGATACATTGGAAAGTACCAATGAGGAAAAAAACCAAAATAAAACTGGCAATGTTCATTACCATAAGGTATTACAAAAATTATTTAATACACAAAAAACATCGCTAGGCCTATTTAGAAACCATCTACTGTAAGTTGGACATCACTACACCCTAATTAAATCAAATCTAGATTTGATACATCATGAATCCGATTCCACATCAGCATTATGTTGCGAAACAGGATGTAGACCCAATTTGTTTTATCCTTCAGTACATTTAAGTCACATACGTGCACTGGACTACCTACCACAATCTGTAGTGTATTTCCAACAGATAAATTCACTTTAGTATTTTCCAGTTATTAGACTACTCGATACTTATCATTTGTAATGAAAGAGAATGTGGTATATTTATAACTGTTCAATCATTTTCCAAACATGATAGGCCTACCGGTACTCAAAAAACATTTGGCTAATGAAAAGATGCATGAACGGTAACCATTCGTCCTGCATGAAAGACATGAGGTTTTTAGTTAAGATAATGAAAATAAAAGTAACTATTGGATATTAAGTATTTTTACGTACCCTATATCAGATGGTATTACTGTAAATGGACACCAAGGCACCATGCCTAAGTACTAATCAATTCCTACCTTAGCCTTGTTTAGTTGTGTTTTAATAAGGTTCAATATAAGTTTTTTCTTAAGGTTAATTTTTTTTAATAAGAAAGAATGAATATGACAATGCTTTGTGATAAAAATGTGGACACAAATCACCGCAGCCTAACTAAACTGAGCGAGACAACACACAAATGTTTAGAACCAACCCTGAACTCCTTACAAGTATTATCTACATACAAACATTTAAAATAGGTACTTAATCCACATCTGTCATGACGTTTGACAATAGCTTTTAGACCACAGGGAGCTCAATTCATACTAAGCGCATGGCAGAGTATGGCTTTTTTCATATTATTTTTTGCAAATTTCACCTATAAGGTAGAAGGTATTGCTGTAGATGGTTTAAGACCTATCAGATGTGTAGGTCTATAGTGAACATGATAACCTAAACCTGAGCAATCCTGATTCAATTTTAATGAAATTTGGAGTGTGTAGTTCTGGAGAAACTTGATCAGGCCATGGAAACCGGGTTTTATGGGATAAAAATACATCATTCCCCCATTTTCCCCCTCAAAATATAAAAATTCGCAAAATCTTTAGAAATTATTTTGAAGAGCATAAAAAACAAACAAATTATTATATTGAAGTGTTCTTGTACACTTGATGCTTACAGAGAAAATTCCAAAAAACTGTAGCTCTACAATTAATAAAAAAACATAGCTCTCTCTCTCTATGTTAATTTGCTAAGTTTACTTGTTTGTAAAGAAGTTATGAACAAATTTTGCATATATAGGCCTATGTGTTTATTTCATTAACTAAAATATTTACAGTCATTATTATATTAAGTATATCAACAAACCTAAGTATTCATTAAAACTAACGTTTTTAACATATTTAAGGAATATTTTAGTGAAACTCCAATCAGGTGATCGTTAATTCACTTAGTCTACAGGTTTGCTGTGATGGGGGTATTTTTTTTTTCTATGCAGACTCTAAGTTTAATCATCACATAGAGGGGAACTGTCTTAGGCCTAGATGAGGTAAATATCAAGGCGCTGGTCTCAGATTTGTTCCAGCTCACTTGTGGAAGCTACGTAAGCTCAATGAAAACCTTTATCTATGAACAACCCTTGTCAATGCGTGAAAATAAATAGAGCTTTCTTAAGGAGTTATTTAAGTTACCAGCTGAAGAGATTGCTAGTAGTATGGTTTATTCCCAGTTTTAGGCCTTTAAATGACACAAGTTGCAAACAACAGCCAAAAATTATGTTTAAACTAGGCTAAAACATACTCAGATCCAGGCCTAACATTAAAGATGAAGTCAAGATCATCTAAGAACCCTGGTTCTCAGCTTAGCATTAATAGTCATGACATTAATTCTATTTTTGACAAGCATCGAGAGACAAAATATCAGTCGACTTTATGTTATTATGAATCATTTAGTACCGTAATTCACTAGTTATACCAGGTCTAAGAGGGATATTAAAATTTAAACTCAACTCCAAATCTTATGTTTAACCCAGTAGATTACCAATAATAGAGACAATTTTTACATTAGAACTGCACAATAATCTAATTAGAGTCAAAGAGCACTTAGATCAAACAGCCTTTGACACAGCTCTCAGCTAACAGCCAATAAAATTCAGATAGTCTGGGTTCTGATTTTGTAACATGAAGGGTTGCAAATCTACAATCTGTATCGCAGCACAAAGCAAAATGACAATGAGAAGAGCCGTTAGCTGTTGCTTGGTTTCAAAAAATTATAAAAAGACCAACACAACATATTGAGCTAACTTAGGACTTGGGCCTACAGCACTTTCAGGAGCAGTAAAAGTCCACTCATCCATAGCCTGGGCCAAATATAAAAGCTCTGGAGTAGATGATATCCCTTGCTACCTCCTAAAGTCATGCAAAGAATCAATTGCTAAACCACTTGCTAAAATTATAAATAAATCTTTTGAAAATTGAGTTTTTCCTAGTAAACTAAAGACATCCAAAGTGGTACCTATCCACAAAAAGGATGAGAAAGATCAAGTAAATAACTACAGGCCAGTGGCAGTCCAAAGTGCAGTTTCTAAGAAAAGACTAAATCCCTTTTTATCACATAGGCCTAACAATCATTTATCACCACAACAATATGGATTTAGAAAAAACAGTTCAACAAATGATGCAATTTTTTATTTATTAGTCTCAGTACATGACAACCTGGATGTGTTGGAAGAATCCCTGTGTTTTTTTTTTATGACATGACTAAGGCATTTGACCTTCTCTCCCATAGTAAACTTAAAGTTAAACTGGCAAACATTGGAAGGTAAGCCACTTCAATGGATTTCTACCTATCTACAGGACCGACACCAGATTACATCAATAAAATATTCAGGCTCTGATGGACTAACAAGAAACTACCGTTCTACAATTTCCCTTGCCATAAACACCGGAGTGCCACAAGGCTCCAACCTTGGACCAGTATTGTTTCTGATCTATGTCAATGATCTACCTGAATTTTTAACTGAAGGGAAAGTGTGGCTCTTTGCTGATGATGTGAGTCCTTTGGTGCAGGACAGTGACTAGGGTAGGCTCAGAGACAAGGCACAAACTGGCCTAAAT